AAACTGTCTGTTTTTCTGACATACACTCATTTTTATCATACACCACAACATAACAAAAACAGCAAAATGATTTTTGTTATAAATGTTGATCATTTTCGCCGATAAACAAACATTATTACGTAGCCTCTAGACTTTAACAGACGCCCACTTATTTAACAAAATCTTAGTTTTAACACCAAAATAAAACATTTTTCGTGTAGTGTAGTCAATAACCCCTACAAAAGCCACTTAACCAAATCACTTCGTCTTGCGGTACTATTTCGTTGATGTATTCAAACAAGCATTTGGCGTTATTGTTTATTGATGGTTCTACGACGATGTCAATTGCTCCGATGCTAATGCTTCAAAAAGGACGTATCACAAAAATCTCGTCAGACATATCAGCAATTAATGAAATATTAAATTCAACTGAAATTTTGTAAAGTTTTACAAAACTGAGTTAAGGCACTAAAAATACTTGTACACCAGCAAAGATTTTATGAAACATTTTGGTGGTATGGTGAAAATACTGATTATGGACTTCTTGGTTATGACACCACGTGGTCTTGTACGTGGTTAACATATCGCGTTCACCTTCACACCAACATTTTTCGACGCAGGTTATATCAATGGTATAATCTGTGGGTTATACAGCAGGTGCGTTTCAAAACCCTTCTAACAATTTCATAACGACCGCTATCTTGAACGACAAATAATATAAACTACTTCGTTCAGTTTTAGTATATCACAAACATAGAAGGAAACTGCAATAATATGTTTTGGAAAACAAATTTGTGTTCCAAAATCCGATGGTCTGCGCAGACCAAAATATTTGTCTGAATTATTGATTGTAAATATTTCTGCGAAAAAATCTGAGTATTACTTTGTATTCGTTTTAATTTTGTTCACTTTCATTAACTGTGCTTATGAACATAATTGAAAAGTACAATACCGAAACTTGTTTAGTTCATTTTCCCAAGTTATGTTCTCATTACTTAATTAAATTGTTTTAAAAAAGGCTATTTTCTTAACATTGGAGTTAGGTTATGTGCAGACCAGTCACAGATTTTATGGTAGTTGACGATAATTACACTTAGAACACTATCAGCCATGGATGAAATGATTACAGCAATGTAATAACCACTACCATAATAGTAATTAGAGGAAGGTAGTAATTATACACAGCTATATGGAAAAAAAAAGGGGAGGAGGAAAACTACATCCACACATTAATACTATCTATGTGCAAATCCTATTGCTGCCTTTTCAGACCTCCGTTGACACTTCGGAAAATAGACTCGAATGCCATCATTGAAAAGACACGAAAATACCAACGGTGTTTTTGAATTCAACGTGCTAGTTACCGACAAGGACTGAAGATTTCTCCACGAACCACTTGTGCGTAACTTATCTACTGTCACGAGTCTGTTGCAACATAACCTAAATTTTTTTAACAATCGGTCGGACCGATAAGTGTATGTTGAATTGGTGTTTGCGTTTATCGACGATTGAAGCATTAGCATTGCACGCTGCACTCGATTGTGTTGGTTCGTTTGCTGTCAAGAACTAGTTTGTTTTGAAGTGTTGTTCAAATTATCGTAAGTTCTAACGTAAATTTAGGTTGGAGATTATTACCCTAGTTTCACATAATGCGTTTCTTGCACGATTTAAATGCAAACAAGGCTTCCCATTTCTGTATGTCCACATGATTTGAATGAAATTTGGTATAAACGTTATTCCAATGAGGGCTAACCAAAAAATATGCTTTCTTCTTCTAAAAACGGTAATACCACGGCTCATGCACAAACTTGAATGTGGTTCATTATTGTAGTTTAGGTCATTCTTGTACTAATGTGAGCATTACTAAGCCACGTACCTATGAGTGCATGTACAAATTTCATCAGATAACACCAGTTATCTACTTATATTAATCTTACAATTTAAATTTAATATAGCTTTTAAATTCCTGTCTGATGTGTTAAATTCTGTAACATTTACAGTTTTGAGAATAAAGTAAGTCACTGATAAGCACAATAATGAATGTGTCACACCTAAGCATCATGCCTCAGACTTATATAAGACATGGAAATAAATCATAATGCTTTATTAGTCGTGGTTATAAACAAAGTTGTGTGGTTAACCCCATCTGCCGAATACTTGTTATATAACATGAAAGTTCATATAACTGATTACTGTGGTTTTATTCGTTGCAGACAATGGTGGCAGTTGGAATTATACGCCACTTATTGCAGCGGGTCTCCGTTAGGAGTCTTCAAGAAGCAGCGTTGACAGAGCGCTGTATTGTCGTAAATAACCATGATAAGGTTATAGGAGGTGCCAGCAAAGGAGACTGTCATCGCGTGCAGCCCGATGGGGGCCTTATTCTACACAGAGCATTCAGGTTGAAACTTTTTGATGATAAATTACATTACTTTTATGGACAATGAACCTGAACTGGGTTTATTGGTTCTGTTAAATGCTTTTGATAACATTGTCAGAAAATTCTGTTTGCTGCTGGCCACGAACTTCACACATTTACCAAGTTATTGCGTAGAATTTATTTTTAATTTTAAAAAAAACTATCCATTTTAGAAAAGTATAAAATTTACACACTGTTGGGTTTGGGTGTTTGAAATGTGAAATGGATTTTGTTCAGCCTAATATGTTTTAAATCTTAATTTGTGCATTTCAGCGTGTTCCTGTTCAACTCAAAAAATGAGCTACTTATCCAGAAGCGTTCTCCTCAGAAATTAACATTCCCAAATTGCGTCACCAACACTTGCTGTAGCCACCCGTTGCATGAGATAGCGGCAGAGGTGGTGGAAGCTGACGTTCTAGGGGTACATGCATCAGAGCAATAAATGAGTACTTTAGTTGCAATAAACATTACGAGTTCTCGGGCTACCAGCCGTGTCAGGTGGTTTAATTGAGAAAATACCAGCGTTTCAAGAACCCTCTTCCTTCTCTGAATACCCAGAGGATGAAGATGGTTCTTCAAATGTTTTGTCAATTAAACCACCTGACACGGCTGGTAGCCATAGAATTATTCATTATACTTCGTCGCTGTGAAAGCTTCAGATCATGGACTGAACATGCCGTCCATCGACACTGGAAAATAACTTTGCATTTTTATATAATTATGTGTTTTAAACCCTCATGAATTAACAGACATGCAGCGTGGAATATAAACCACCATTTATCAGTTCTGTTGACGCTCGTTCGTGGGAGATTTTGAAGTTCCCTTTAAAGAAAGGTAATAGTACAATTATGGCTCCTGTGGTCAGTTCTTTAAAGTGGCAGCGAATAGCCGAACAGTCGATAAAACGTTTGAATTCATTCACGTCTACTTTGCATGGCAGGTGCGTCGAGCAGCGGGACGCCGTCTGAATTACGAGTTGGGAATCCCCCTGGAGCAGGCAACTCCAGAGAAATTCCAGTACCTCACTCGGATACATTACTGCGACCCTGGCGATGGAAAATGGGGCGAACATGAGATTGACTACATATTGGTGCTGCACGGCGATGTCACTCTCATTCCAAATCCTGATGAGGTTATTTTTTGTGTCAGATTTTTTATTTTTAATACGTGTACGGAAGTAGAGAACCAGATATTTATTCACAAGTATGGAATTAAGATTGTAAATCTGTGACGTAACCAACTGATTAGCGATTAGATTCAGCTGTCTTGAAATTTAACCGAGTACGTCACGAATTCAAGTTAGATGTTAATGTTACTCTAACCAACTTTGTAATTTTCTTGTTCCCTTCTGCATTCTACATGGTCTGCTCCTCTCGACCCGTTGGTTTAATTAATCTGTAACGAGAACTGACAAATTAGTAATTGACTTTCAGCCTGGAGACCATTTATCCTGAGACTTTTCTTTCCTTGACCTTCCCAGGCAAATTCTGGGATATTTAATACCTTAAATTAGGTCATGTACACTTCTTTCCATATCCTTTCCAATTCGCTGTTTATTAATCATCCTATAATTTGACGCTATGCACTCCGAACTACTGAAGACATTAGCTTAAGCCCCCATAGATTGTTCTCCTTTTTACTCTTTATTCATCTATCTTCGGTCAGTATTTCCAGCACTAACTTGTCAACAGATATAATTTTTCTGCCCCCGTGAATGCTAAGACTTGAATTCCGGGGCCAAATTTGGTTGTTCGACAACTGAACGGAATCATAAGTTCATTGTATATGTTGTTGTTCTATTTTTTATTGTTTTCAGGTGAGTGAAGTGCAGTACGTGGCACGTGACAGACTGGACACCTTCCTCGAGAGCCAGTCGACACAATTAACACCGTGGTTTCGTCTCATCGCGCAGCACTACCTCCGACTCTGGTGGGACAACCTCCATCAACTTCACAAGTTTCAGGATCACACAACGATCCACAGATTTTGATGATGAACGCTAATCTGCGTTCTTTGAGAAGGGGCAGCACGTACAAGTATTGCCATGTTACCAACATAGCTTTAAATAACACAGCACAATACTTTCTTACGTGTAATTTGTCAAGTGTACCTGCACATCTATCGAAGTCTGAAATTTGCACCGCCTATTCATCTATCAAATTCTGAAACTTGTACTGCTTTTAGAACTTTGAAAAAGCACGAAGAAAGATCTAAAGAAATTTCCCACATTATCGCAGCAGTAGCAGTCTTAAAAAATTCCATACGATAGAAAAATATTACAAATTTGAAGTGCCCCCCCTCCCTCCCATGGAATCAGTGCCAAAAGTTGTATGTCTTAAACCACGTGTTTTAATGGTAAAGTTGGTAATTTTGTTTATAACTCGAGTGAAATGATATTGCGGTAAAATATTCCGTAATGTAGGGACTTGGCGTCCTCGCTGTAAGACGCTCGACTGTCCTTCCGAGGGCAGCATGTTAGAATGAAAACTTCACCTGTGCCAAAGACAAAACTCTATTGGAGGAGGTCATTTTTGACCCAGAATTTTTGTTGTTCTTCATTAATAATGATGTGGATCCATGACATTTTTGCACAATCATTTTATGGCAGACGACAAATGCATACACGCAGGGAAAAAAGTATGCCACGAAGACTGCGTAACATGAAAGAAGAATGTCAATTTATTGACACTTTTAAGAACTGCATGTCAAATTTTAACCACGTACATATATCAGGCCCTCTTGGTACGGAACCCAAGTTCAACTGTACCTTCTACATGCCAGCCATCAACTTTACGAACACCTTATAAACAGGCGTAAATGTGTGCCTTATATTCATGTCTCACATAATAAATATATTTATTAATTACTGAAAAAAAATTTCAGGACAGTCGGTTGTCACTTCGTGAAGATTCGTGTTACAAAATTTAACTCGTATGAATCGCGTGCTCTCCGCTTGGCTTGTCTTCCGAACACGAACTTCCTCGTGCGGAAACTTTAGATGAAAATCAAACGTGCTAACAGGAATGCAAACCAAGGACACAACATCACCCGGTCAGTCGGTGAAACCGGGAGACATGGACGAGTCATCAGTCTGCCTAAAGCGGCCCATCCATGTACGAGTCTGGCTCGGCGAGCTTTGCTCTGTGCTTTGGTGTGCATCTTGTGAAATAGTTTTCTGCATTCTCTAATAGCACACATAATAATGTTTCCTTGCTCTTTATGTTTCATTTCAGGAAATAAAATTGCCAATTTCTAATTTTTTAGTCATTCAGAAACATAACCCCCCCGAGTTATAACTTTGCACTTATGGGAAATGGCAACTTGCTTTACGAACTGTCTCCAGGAACGTAATTGTAAGAGTGGGGTCTGCCTGCTTATACTTGAGAATGCATTTTTACAATTTTTATTCTCTAAATAACATATTTAACCATGAATTTAAAATTGAAAAGCATTTTGCTGTGGTGGTGGTTGAACTGACGCTAACCGGCATGCAAACGCATATTACAATTAACACACACTTCAGACGAAGTCACTATGAAATCTGAGTTGCATTGTGACTCTGTATCATAAGAGCACCTGTTTATCCGTGTGGTTTTTACGTGGCTCCGAGCCGTAACTACAACTATGTTTATTGGAATTTTGTATGCAAGTAATTCACAAACTCTGAACGAATGTAGGAGCCTATATAATTGTCACATTCCAGTCCTCAAACTGTTCATCGCCAGTGACCCTAAAGTGTTTTTTTTAGTAACTAGTTCCTCGTGTAAAACATGACATTTTTCTTGATTTTTTTTTCTTTATGAAAGATTAAATTAATTTGTTGAGCAAACTGAATTATTATGCTCTCTAAATAGTAATCTAGACACGTAGAAACACTATCAAAGAATCTCACTTTGAGAATACAGTTTGAGAACTCCTGTTACACGCCAAATATAAATATCTCATTTAAGATCTTAAAAAAGAAGTTTGTATCTGTGTACAGATTGTAAAATTCTGTAGAATTTACTGAAATAAAATAACCTGAATTTCAGAATATTGTTGTTGTTGTTTCTCAGCACTACAACCCAGTTGTGTGTTTTTGCCGCCTCCTTTCCTGAGGTTTCTTGGTCTTTAAAGTGTGCATTTGTGAGTAGTGAGTGACCAGGCCACCGACTCTGCACAATTTCTACTCAATCCTGATTTGACTTACTGCCAGAGCCATCTAGTAGAGAATCAGGAGACTTTTGGGTGAGAAAATTTCAGAACATTACCTGTGTCAAAAGTCTTTAATTACCATATAATATCAATAACACACTGGAATCCTTACATACAAGATAACAGTGGTAGTTCTAGAAATTTTAAACGACGTAAATCGGAATCATACTGCCTACTTTGAAATTCCACGAATATTTTCATAACGAAGAGAATACAGCCTTGAAGGGGTCAGAATAACCAACAAACAAAATTCTTAACTGCAAACAAGTACAGCGGTCTGTACTAGCAATAATTTTATTTGTCGTGTCACACGAAAGCGTAACCGGATACGTCCACTCTGAATAATATTATTTTATGTCGAATTTTTACTGTTCAAAAATCACTGCTCCTGACATAACGCCAATTACTTGAGTAGAGAAAGATTATTGTGCTTAAAACATCCAAAGTATTTTGCTTCCTACGTATCCCATTCCTTGATTCTGGCTTCTTAAACATCCACATCCCTCCCATTGCTACACAGCCTTGGCAGATGATACATTACTAAGTAAATTTCTTCTATCAAAGAACATAATTATTTTAAATCATCAGAAAGGTGACAAAGTAATTTAAGGCATTACCATGGCATTTCCCTATAGGGACTAAGGAACCCCATGAAAACCTGTCAGGATAGCTGATCTTCAGGCTGATGTCCGAACCCGAGACCTCAATATGAAGCAGGAGTGCTAACCACTCCCCACTTAATGGTACCTGCACCTTGTCGTGGTGGTGGGGCTCAAGTACCTCAGTGACCCCAAGAGCTACTGGTAGGGTCTCCCTAGCCAGATTGGTCGAGAGGGAGAGGTCAGACTAAGACAGGTACCCTGGTCCTCCAGGTTGGGGGTTGGTCGCAAGGCTAACAACCTTGCACATAAAAAGGAAGATGTTTTGAAACCTCGATCAAAGCCTCCGACAGACGGACCTAACAGAGGACCAAATGGAAGAGGAGAATTGAGGAGGCCATGGACCGAATACGGACCGGAGAGCCATAGAAGAAAAAGAAGAAGAAGTGCTAACCACTTGACAACAACATTTAACATTTTTCTTTATTAACACAGGACATACATATGCATGTCAAGGAAATATTTTCCAATTATACATTTATTTTTGTTATTAACTTGCATGATGCTAAACATTTTATCAGTAATTTTAACATTTTTCTATCTTTCTACAGTTTCAACAGGAATTATGTTACACCCCAGGAGTCCACGTCCCGACCACACATGAGGCGTGAGACTCAGCCTTACCATCTTGTCATGCCTCTTGACTCGAATGCTTACAGATCGTCCCTGAGTATGCTGGACCACGGTACTGATGTCCTGCAGAGATTTCAAATTCCCTGCGTTTACTGAACCAAATTCCACAATCAGATCCTCTACACAGATGCCCTGAGAGAAAACATATTTATTCAGAATGAAATTGCAATTCTTTCAAATTTGAATTTGTTATGAAGGGCCGCTTGAATTTAAGACAGCGGCATACAAACTGAAGTGTCACATGACATATACCAAAGACTGAAATGAAACTAGTGTAATTATTGGTGCTGACGATTACAGAAGTGAAAAGTTTGGCATAACACTAATGCTTTATACTTTGTATTTTGAAGGTACCAGGCTAAATTTTCTGCCAAGTTAACTAATTATCCTGAAGATTCCTCGCACTTCGCCTCGTCTCTTCTTAATGGCATTAACAAACTCTGTCCAATGTGCAGATTTGAACTCTTTACTGCCCATGTAATATTCCTTGTAACTTTCTTTCAACTCACGGCTTCCTCAGCTGGTGAATGCGGTGCGACAAAGTTAACTCTTGCTATAGGTTCTGTGTGCTGAACTGCAGATGTTGATGGATCAACTGGTAGACCTACTCCTTCCCTCTGTTGTCCATGTAGGATATGCAGATTTTGTTCTATCTTCAACATTACGCCCTTGAGATCATTCATGAGACCTGAACACAGTCGACCGCATATACCGAGTTTCACAGACAAATGGTAAGACCATATAATGAATGCCATTCAATCACAGCTTTTTTATTTAAGAATGTACATTAACATTTTCCAACGCATATCTTTTAAATGTTTTGAAAGCAAATAATGATAGAATCTGAAGTGAAGTTTTGAATGTTTAAGTAAAATGAAAAGCCCAAGTGAGAATGACATTAAGATCGGAATAACAGATTGTGAAAGTTGCCACACAGTACGCATTACTATAATAAGTGTTTCAAATTCATCAAAATTCAGTTGACCATCTACTGCACTTTCACATAAGCCTTCCTACAAATTACACTACCTCCAGTAAAAAAATGACAATACTTTCTTTAGAAATAACTCAAATAAATGGTTGACAATTACATATAATCTTATGCCTGGCATCTCGGACTTGGTAAACATCAATATCCTGCCTGGGGTATCCACAGTCATCCACAAGTGCCTCTGTCATTCCAACACTGTTCTGTAGAAAAACGAATAATATTTCACCATAAATGCTTCGGAGAAGCAGTGAACAAGTGCTTTCTTCCGTTACCACTAAATGTAGAACTGAGACCATCCCAAAAGCTACAGCATTATGCAAAAATTACAACTGTATCAAACACGACATGAATTACTGACATGCTATAATACTTACACGATCTAATACAGACTTGAACTGACTGATTTCATTTTCAATTTTTTCCTTTTCATGGATCAGTGCTAAGACGCTATCACGTGTAACATTCGCTTCCATTTCTAATTAATGAAAATATGTAAACTCACTTCGAAAGACGCTATTCACTCTACCAATGAATATAAAACTACATACAGGTACACAATCTGGCTTTAAGACATTGTATTGAAGAGTGGTATGAACCACTATCAAGAGCTCAGTCGGTAACAAAGCTACCTACCATCCGAGCCAACCAATTTTCACCTCCCCCATAATCATCGACGACCAACAAAACTTATATTCAGGAAAGACAAATTTACAAACTTTTAAGATAACTGTCTTCTGGGGTTTGTGCTGTGCAGTTTGGTCGAAATTGACCGACGTTTCAGAACGTATTATTAAATAAATGTAGAACTTCGGTTTCATTTTCGGGACGTCCTGGCCACAAATATTAGACCAAAGGTTGGCTGTCCTGATTTCGGGTTTCCAAGGTTTTCATTCGTCCCTCCGTGTAATCACAAATGTATTCCATCTTTACATCTTACCAAAATACAACTTGCTACAGTGATTACATGTTTGGGACGTGTCTAGCTGCCATGTGGTTTATCTGCAACAACACGACAATGTAGATTGTGAACACACGATCAGGTTAAGTAAATTTTAATGCCAAGATATATACTAATTCATGCATGGTTAACACTCTGCTGGAGAATAGTATTATATACAATTACTACTTTCATACGAAGACAAATATGAAAGAATGTCTTGGTGGCATCTTGTGATACGTCATAATCTAGACCAGTGATTAATTATATCATAAATTGCGTATTTAAATAAGAAACATAATAAATATGCTCCAAAACGCCAGATGTTACACTTTCAATGAGATAAAAATTCTCAAAAATTACAGAAATCTTAAATAGAAATATATGTTTCTGTCATTAATTTCAGAATACAGTAAACTTTACAGAGTAATTTAAAAAACTTTGTTGCCTTCTTTTTTTGTGTCATATAAAATCAAAAAAAAAAAAAATCTACGCAATTTTATTCAGTGCAATCCTGTTTCAAAGACATGTCCATACTTTTAAAGCCAAGATAATTAATTTCACAGACAACATATCATCTGGAAATATCACTGAATTCTAGGTCAAATGTTAAACATTGGAAATAATTTTGTTATTACGTTAATAACACATAATAGGATACCAATTGAGTTGCCAACACTGCAAAAAATGTCATATTGTATATAAAAATTAATTTAAGGTTTCTAGGATACTGACTCGTATTAGAGTTAGGTTATGTTATTTTTTTTAAAAAAAATTAGCATTGCAATAAGTTTATCCTGTTTGGCCAAAGAACGATGCATTCCTGTTTATTAGTAGGTTAAAATTACTTGATACATCCCAAAATTATGCTGTAAGACAGCTCCCTCTCTCTCTCTCTCCGAACAGTTTCAGGTGCCTTATACAAAATTCCCTTCTGAATATTTGTGGGAAAAAAACAATTACCAACTTATGAACATAAAACTAGAATAATACCCCTAGACTTACAGTATTTTAAAAAAAAACACCAAATAGCCTAATCACATCAGACTACAAGTAACAATTATCAGACTGACATCAATCAAAATAGGTTTGGTATACTGAAACACAATATTGTTTAACATTATGACGGTTCAAGTGCGTATGTTCACTTCGCGAAGCTTTCCCTAAGTCCCTCGACAGTCGTTTCATGATGCAAAGGTTAATTTGCAACTGATTACAACATCCGCACATGCGCACGGAACAGACAGACTTGCGTAAACAAAACATACGTAATTAAAATTGCAATGATAATTTCTCGGCTTAACCAAAGTCCCATTTATTCAAATCTGCCTAAAAATATATTTACGCTCACGTGAAGTTATATTAAGCACATCCAATTTGGTCTGATATTACGTTTGGTGCATAATGGAAGGTTTCTGAAAGTAATTGAATAAAAAAAAATTATTAATTTTAATTATTATATAATTTCAAAAAAATCTAGAGAAGGACACGAGTCAATTAATGGGCGTTTGAAGATCGTCATTAATAGGATAACACAAAACGGACAATTAGAATGCATAAATCAAGATTTTTACTATTTCAACAGATAATTTAAAAAAAAAATTAGGGTTTTCTCATCAATGCAACAACGACCTAAATTTCGGGAATGCACCGTTCTTTGTTTCACCCGCTCGCCACGTTGAGGCACAGGATGTGAGCGGGACCTGAAACAAACAAACAAACGAAACGTCTCCTGTAAGAACACCAACAAACAAAATTGAATTAACAACATCAAAGGAAAAACTTACCTGTGCTGTTGGTACTCCTGATCTGTCTTCTGATGCTGATATATATTTTTTTAATAACGCTGACGACAAATGGCGTGAAACGGCGAGTGAGTTGTCCACATTACGTAACACAACTCAATTAAGATGAAAATATTGCGAGCCATCTTTTCCGACTTTGAAGAGAAATATATAAAAAAAAAATTCCCTGCATTCTTGCGAATCGCGACTCACGTTTTTGGACGGAAGAACTTGTCGATGATAAAACAAAGAATCGATAACCGGGTCCTACAAAAACGACCTTCGTATGATTGCCCGCGACGATTAAGAGAAAAAAAAAAGTCGTCGACGAATTATGCCTGTGCAAACGAAGTATGGCAACAACAAACAATCCAAGAACGATTTTTTAAGAATAATATTACGTCACGAAGATTTGATTCTCGCAAACTCCTAACGCCTACGGAAATTCGCGGAATTAAAACGCCACATAAAACGAAGACGTCCCTGAATGCGCGTTGTTGTCACGTGATTATTATTAATATTCGCTCGCGTAACGCGATTCTTCAATGTAACAACGTTCTAAGTCTTTCTCTATGCTGAATCATGAGTTCACTTTACAGTCTGAAACAAGAGCAGAAAACATTAACGAAATCAAAAAGACACGGTCCTCAGTTGATACCACGACCAGCCTGGGGTCGGACTGACGTGATAAGACCGTGTCGATGCCTGATGACCTGGAAAAAAGCAAATCCCATCCGAAAGCGAATGGG